CAAGGGCAAATCCATTCACTTAAAAAAAAATGGGGTTACTAGTATCTGAACGCATGCAGTACTATAATATTATAAACAATGAGTGAACGAGTCCAAACGCGAAATGAGAGGGAAAGAGTGTGCAAGCGAGAAAGAGAATAAAAAGGCGAAAAGACAAGATACAAAATATGGTGGGCTTTTGTTGTTAAGGTTTTTATACGAATTAATTTTTAATATTTAAGTATATTAGGTTTTAAGTTTTTTTTATTCATTGTTGCCTTTTTAAGCTGACGGCTTTATGGCGGTGCTCAATAAATCAACTTCATAAAAAGTCAACTTCGTGTTTTTTGTTAATTGTTTAAAAAGCAAAAACATACTATTTTACAAATTTTTCTTTTGGTATCCCACAATCATAACTGGTATGACAGTCCAAATCGAGTACCAGAAATATCTGAAGGACTGAGGACTGATTTTTATTTTAATAAGATCTATATTTTTATCATTAAACTCGAATTTTATTTTATTCCCTTTCGATGGCGGCAATTAACAAACATTAATTGGGATTTTTTATTCCACTGGCAACTACTGGGATATTTTAAATCCCATTTGACGCCAGTGGTAACAAGAGATCTTTTTATGCCATTTGTCACCACCTGGTAACATATGGTTTTTTTCCCATGCCAGTTTGGACAAAGTCAGTGATGAGAACTGGAAATAAGCGATCTAAATATATATCCTTTAAGTGATTTCCACTGACAGATGACCATTTATCAATGTCATCTTGACTACATGTCGTAGCATGTTTCGATTTATATGTGTTATACGTAGTGAAGTGATTTATTGAGACTTATTTTATTATACCAAGTAATGAAATGAACAAGTCAGTGCCCCTTAGAATTTTAGAATCGCAAAGACCTGAAGGGGCCCTGCCACTGCGCCCGTCACCCTTGCCCTTCAAAACCGGAATGCAGTAATGATCACATGACTGCTTGGCGGCAGAATTGGTGCAGTCTGAAGAAACAAGTTAATTAATAGGCACAGTATAACTACGTATTTTGTTACTGTGAACTTCTTTTTTTTTAATAGCTATACTATTTGTTAAATTTTTATTGAATTGATATTCAATTCTTTTTTGTGAAATTACTCCACTAGTTTGTTATAATTATTAATACAAATATTGAACACTCAGAAAAAATTCCTTCGATCCGGTCGGATTCGAATCGACGTCTTCTTGCATACCTTGCCAGACGCTATACCAACTAAGCCACGGCACGAACCAACGGACCTTACGAATTTTTCTATGTGCTTGCGTCGTGTTCTATGACAAATCTATGAAAGATTTATCACCCACTCGTGAAATTGATTGAGTCGTGAATTTATGTCGCACAAGGTGACGGGCGCGGTGGCAGTGCCCCTCAGATCTTTGCAATTGAAAGCTCTGAGTGGCACTGCAACTGTTATGAACAGGCGCCACTTGGCATCATAAAAATAATACTATACTATCGAGTAATTGCTTTTTAGCTGAGTATTATCTAATTTTTTTTTATTATTCTAATTGTCAAACAGATGAGATAGTCTACCTAATGAAAAAATAGACATGAAGTCGAACTTGGAAGATGGACAGAGTTCGTATCTTTGCGCAATGGCATGGGGTTTTTCATAAAGCAAGTAAACAAGGCTTTTAAAGGCTGACAAGGCATAGACAGCCTCCTCTCGCTCGTCTTATTGTTTGCCTCCTACTTTACATAAAAAAACAAAAAATCATATTTACCACCGTTTTCCTTTTACGTTACAACTTTTCCGTTCGCTTTTTGCCTTCAAATTCCTTAGTTTCCTGTTTCCTTTTACTATCTAGTACGATTATTTTTCATCTAGGTATTTGCTTCCGTTTCGAGCACGTGGAGCAAAAACGTGAGATCCTTTTTAAATTCTTGACTTTTATATAATTTTGTCTGAATTCTAAGCTAAAAGAAAAAGTTTTTTTGGGCAGAAATATTTTTTTAACGATTGTACCAGCGCGGAAGTCAAACTATATGACTGTACTCGCCTCATACGAGCGGGTTAATAGATTGATCGTTCGTTGTGACGCTTTTAAGAAGAGAAGTGGACTGTATGGAAAGGAATGTCTGGAGAGGGACGGATCGACAGGTAAAAGGAGTGGTGAACAACTGAACTAGACTACACTGACCTTAGAGGTGGATTTCTCGTATCTTGTACAACTTTCAGCAGACGTCCGAGTGGTCTCCGACAAATGCGGTGGAATACGTGACAGTTGCATTGGTGCGTTGGGGGTCAGAGGACACACCCGTTATTCTTTATTCCGAATTTATCGGGAGGAGATTTTTATATTATTTATTTTATATTATTAAGAAACTTATTTAATGAAGTAAGTTAAATATCATGTAAGTAAAGAAAATGGCTTTTTTTTCTTATTATTAATATTTGCGGAAGTGCATTTTGAAGGTCACGCCCTTTTTTTAAAGGCTACGAAATAATAATAATTTTCTCACACTTTTTAATATGACACGAGTTTTTACATACCGACTTTGCTATGATGCTTAATATGTGGAAACAATAAGTTATCGTCATTCGGTATACAACCGAGAGACCCCCCGCATCAGCGTCTTTCGAGGGTTAACGTCTTGCCAAAGTACGCACACTATGAACTGTTTTGAAAATCCGCTGTCACCCCCTTGAACAGAGACGACGAATCTTTAAACGACTTAAAAAAAGAGGGTCATCAATTCGACTGTATTTTCGTGTATGTATGTTACACAATTACTACAACATTTATGAATCAATTTCGATGATTCTTTTTTGTGGGAAAGGGGGTACCTCTTTAGTAGTCCCTTTCAAATTTGAAGAAAATATTCCACCTCTAAGGGTGGCAAATTAGGAAATGAATGCGGTTTATGGGCCACTAACCGATTGCAACAAAACCTGGCAATTATTCTTCAGAAGCAGTTGGCTATAGGACAAACTGACATCACAAGAACACACTTTCCTACAAAAGGGAAAACGGTACAACCGCCATAAGAACATTTCAAATCAAACAATATTATTACACCGCTTACTTTAGGCCATATCGCTCTATCACTGTCATTAATCTTGAGTTCAAGGCCCAGGGCGGGCAATTTGCCTTATAACCTACATTAAATCTCCTTTCGCTCATATAACACAACACTTTTGTTACATTCGATTATACTCGTAAGTGTAGGCAATCCGTATTGTAGAGATCATTTATTGGAGACACAATGCGAAACATGATCATAGCAGCAGAAGGGTGAGCATAGATGTAGCGATGTAGCTATAGCGTAGAGCGTAGAGAAGTTGAGTTTATAGATTTAATGCTTTCGTGGTTATTTTTGGTAGGGGAGAGCGGGGCTGCACGTCCGATCTTCAAATAACTTGCAGTTTTATACTGAAAATGAAGGATTTGATTTTCAACATGTGGAAATATTGAACAAATGTTTATCGCTTTTTGTAATAGTATAGTCACTTCTACTAATATCTCAATAGTCTTTTTCTCAATAGTTTTTTTTTTAATTTTTGACAAATTTCGGAGAGGAACATTCAGCCCCGCTTTGGGGCGCGTTGTTCCGCCTTTAAGGCAAATTGTTTCGCCTAGGTTATGACAGAATAACAAAGATTTTCTTAAATAAAACCACCTATTTATAATTGTATGTATGTAATGTTTATATTATGCACAACTAACTTAAAAAAAACCACCCACATTCTTATTCATCAATAATATTATTCATCGCTCATTTCTTCATCTGAATCATAGTTGAGACACACATAAGTGACTCTATCATCTTGTCTAAATATTTGACATGAGCCTGTTTGTAGTTTGGCATCCTTAAATCAAAGAAAAATGGTCATAAAAATTTAAAGTATGAATGCCGGTCAATTGGGGAAGTTGTTCCTAGGAACAACCAGCCCCTCGAGAGAGGAATTTATGGCCCCAAATTACGTTTTTGTACGAAGACTGACATACCGGCAAAGTAATAGAATCAATAAAAAAAATACTCAAACAATAACATTCCTTACTAATGTCACACAATTTGGAAAAGTTAGAAAGCATAATAAACAAAGACAGACCAAAAAATTTAAACAAGAAAAAATTACTTACGTGATACTTTGACAGCTTCACGCACATAGCCACACGTCGTCGTCGGAGTTACTGAAATGGCTGCCGGCAAGACGCATGACGCTTTAACGACGCGCTTCACATGTATTGCTACATATTTTCCTTGCAAAGTTATTGCTGTGAGAATAACTTACCCCGGGAATACCAGCCCCGGTTTCCCCTACTCTTGCTCTCTAGTATTCAGATAGGTACAAATATACTATAAATGAAAAAAAAAGGAACGGAAAAGCTTACAATGCCAGGCATTGTAACTAATAAGTAACGCAACGCAACACACACACATAGACAACCACAAATTACACTCAAACTTACGAGAGAAATAACTGTAGGCCATATACATATTTGTCCCGGTCTGGTAATCGAACCCAGGACCTCTGTTACCATGTTGCACTGCCACGCAGAGGTCCCGGGTTCGATTTCCGAAATATTTCTATGGCCTGCCCTCGTTTCTCTCGTGAATTTGGATGTAATTTGTAGGTTTTTTTAACAGTGTCAAATGACGGGACGAACAAGTCGTGCGCCTGATGGTAAGCTACACGCCTGTCCATAACAGTTGCAGTGCCATTCAGAGTATTAAGTCGCAAAGTTCACGTCACGAGACATAAGTTGACAAGTCTCCATGACTGTAATTTCACCAGCACCTTTACCTTTCAAAACCGGAACACAGTAGTAATGCTTATTATTGCTTGGCGGCAGAAATAGGTAAGGGGCAATACTTCCCTGGACAAACGCTTTCACAAGGAGCTCTACAAGTAGTAAAATCTATGTGTGTATCTGTAATCTATGGGGCAATGAGTAGATTATGCGTTATTATTATTATATATTATAAGTTGAAACGGAAAAATTATGGTAAAATATTATCTTGTTTCAGATCAACGCGAGCGATGGAGAAGACTAAAGGACTATTAAACGGCCAAGTGCACGGCGAGACCAGACAGGCCAAGTCGAGAAAGGCCATCATACGGATGCTGGGTACGTATAATGATTTCTAATACCTTGTACTGGAATTTAGCAATATTATATTGTTGCAACACCACATACGTTCGAGAAATATTAGTAACCTCGCCTTGCCGCTAGATGGCGTTGGGATCAAAATTGAACGGGCTATCAAAGTGTTAAATAAATTACCATTTATAAATAAGTTGCAAAAGGATTTTTATTACACCTGTGTCGGGCGATCATTTTTGATAACCCGGGTCGATAATGACTCATGCGGAATGTGATCGGGTCACTGGTTCACGATACTTCCATATGGAGTTTAAAAGTGTCAAATTATGCAATTAGCTTTTATTTTTTTCCGGCTGATGGGTATTGTGTATTAAGTTAAATGCATCATTGATAAACCATACTTAGGACACTAAAATTTCATTGTAGGAAAAGTAACACTTATAAAACAAAAATATATAACAAAAAACTCATGAGCATTCAAAATTACTAATTTATTATTCATTAATATTTTAATATTAGCTAGTGCACTCATAAATAATCACAACATACCGAAAAATACAGTAAACTTACAAAATTACCATGTAATGGACACTACGCTACGGAGCAATTAGGATGAATGATTGATAGACTCATTGATCTGTTGATCCGTTGACTCGTTAATCGATTGCTTGTCTTTTTGGTTCGATCGATCGAATACTCTATGCAAAAAAATTTCGACCCAAACGAAAAGTGAGGAGTGATTACATCTCCTATGTCGATCACACAAGTACGTCAATAAAAGCCGTTGTGCATTTGGAGACTCCAAGCGTCTTTCTTCACCCTCTCTCGCTACGTGTACCTATTACATTGTAACATTGAATTTTATTATTGAATATCATGATATTTTGCTACCATGATTTTTATATATTTTTGTGAAATTACACCACTAGTTGGTTATAATTGTTAATACAAGAAATTATACCATGTGGCAGGACGAATAAGTCGCGCGCCTGGTGTTAAGCGACACGCCTGTCCATAACAGTTGCAGTACCAGAGCTTTAAAACGAAAAGATCTGAGGGGCACTGCCACTGCGCCCGTCACTCTGAGAGTAGTCTCATGTTTTCAAATTCAAATTCAAAATAATCTTTATTTCATAGGTAAGCATTATTACACTTGAAATCGTCACAATGGTTAAACTCTACCGCTCATTTGTAAGGCAGATTCCCCTGAGAAGTATGAGCAAGAAACTCTAGGGGTTGCTCTTTGTAAATAACATTTACAATTATTTTTTTTATTTGAAACATCAGAGATCGAGACTACCTCCATGAGCTAAACGGGTTACTACCACGGATTTTTGTCATCCAAGTACGCAGAAGTTGTATAAAATAACCTTTAGTTTAAAGTTTTTGTTTCACTATAGTTTTAAACCTCGTGAAAGGCAAATTTTGTATATCAACCGGAATCTTGTTATAGAAGCGTATACATTGCCCCCTAAATGATTTTTTGACTTTGTGAAGACGACTATCAAGAAAAGCTAGTTTATTTCTATTCCTCATATTAATGTTATGTCTGTCACTATTTTTCATAAAGAAGTTACTACTCCTTTTAACATAAATTACATTTTCATAAATGTACTGTGAGGTTAGTGTAAGAATGTTAATTTCCTTAAACTTATCTCTCAAAGATACTTTGAGGCCCAGATTGTAAATTGCTCTAACTGCACGTTTCTGCAGGACAAAGATTCTATTGATATCGGCGGCATTACCCCAAAGCAAAATGCCGCATTAGACTGTGAAAGTAGCTGAAGTAAACCAATCTAGCGGTTTCGACGTCTGAAAGTTTCCTTATTTTTTTAATCGCGTACACTACTTATATAACAGCGTAACTTACTTATATGGGGACCCCATTGCAATTTAGCACCTAACGTTATACCTAGAAATACAACTATATCCACAAGATTCAATCTTTCGTTTCTAAATACAATGTTTGTAACCGTCTCTCTAACATTGGGTAATGTAAATTTCACACGATTTGTTTTTTTCTCATTAAGAAGTAGGTTAGTAGTTGTTAGTAGCTAGGTAGTTAGTTTAAGTTGACAAGTCTCTTGTGACTGTGATTTCACGAGCACCATTACTCTTCAAGAACGAAACACGGTAATGCTCACATGACGTTGGACATAGGTAAGGTGGCAGTACTTACCTGGACGGACTCTTTCACACTCTAAACTTGTGTAATACGGTGTTATTTATCTCGTCGTGTAATTCCTCTTCTTACGACTTCTCTCACTGCTCGTTATATCCTAGCTATTACTTAAGGTGCGACAAAATGAAAACGCTTATGTCTAGCTGACAAGGGTAAGACAGTTTACACATTTGCGCATCAAATCCGATTTGTGTTAAAAGGCAACATTCCCGCGAACGCGCTCCATGTTAACGAAGTTTGATACTATTTGGTATGTAAAACGAGTACAGTCAAGAGCATATTTATTTAGGAAATGAAACTATTTTTCCGGATTATTACTATTTTTCCGGATTATTATTATTTTTTGCGAAGTAGCAAGGCGTGCGGGACTTAAGGAAAAGTAAGGCAGTCTTACGGGAGCTAGTTTATTGTATAGTCTGAAGTTGGTACAAGAAGAACGTCGAGTATTACTACAATGAAGCTTAATACTAAGTAACAATGAACGTGCTAAAAGTTGTAATTCTGCAAGTTAATAAATAAAGTTACGCAATGTGCAATCTCTAACTAATCTATGTAAAACAACATCTGAGGATGTTGAGGCGCGTTTGAGTGCCTTTTTTTATTCAAATGTAAGTGTGCATTTGACCTCCTTCTCACCTGATGAAAACTGATAATGAGGTCGACGATGAAGCATGCACACCTAAACAATGCCTATCCACTCTCGCCTTGAAAAGGTCCAAGTTATAACGTTCAGGGAAGAAGTCTGTAGGCAGGGAATTCCACTCCATAGCCGTTCGCCATATAAATGTGGAAGCGTAACACTTCGTGCGAATCTTTGGAATATCCACGACATAGGGGTGGAATCCAAGCCTACGCCTAGTCCCCCGATGACGGAAAGGGGAAGGCGGAATTAAATCGTGTAATTCCATCGCATACTCTCCGTGATATATCCTATAAAACACCGGCAACTTTACGGCGGTATTCAAGGCTCTGCGGCTTCGCCTCTACTAATTCCGAGGCACCTATAAGCCTCTTGGTACGCTTGTCCATTGAATCCATGGTGGCCAGTTGGTATGTAACAGAGCCATCTCAAAGGTGGCAGCAGTACTCCATATACGACCGGTCTTGTGCTTAATACAGCTGAAGCAACTGTCCCGGTGTGAAGTAACGCCTCACCCTGGAAAGGATGCCAAGCTACCTGGCTGCATTTTTGGCCATGGATTCAATGTATCCGCCGAAGTTCAGATTGGATGACAGGTCCATTCCACGAAGCTGGAGACGGTCGGCTATCGGTATGGATATATCACGAAAAGTCGGAGTCAGTTCAAAGGGACTCCGTGGAGACTAGACACGCCTGCATTTTGGTAGCATTAAATTTGACAAGATCGCCCCAATCGGAGACTGCCTGAGGCCTTTGATAGTGCCTTTGAGTGCCTGCGAGTGCCTTTGAGTGCCTACGAGTGCCATTGAGTGCCTATGAGTGCCTTTGTGTGCCTTCGAGTGACTTTGAGTGCTTTGAGTGCGATTTATTGATTTTACGTGTAATTGGAATCTAGATTTTCGAAACATCGACACATATAGCACGTCGTAACTAACAAATAGAGAGACACTAGTATTTTCATATTATAATATTTGTATGCGTATATCTGCATAATCCTTTATTATTAATTTCATTAAGTGAATTTGTATACAATTCAACATAATGTTATATATAAATTAATTTTGACAGTAAAGGCTTCTCCATTACTTTTGTGTTCAAGTAGTTTTCACTAGAAGCTAAATATGGTGCATTTTATTAAATTTCGAGTGGAATAAAATCAATTTTAGGCATTGACTTACAAATTTTAGGCTTTTAAATTGTAGCAAGCAAAATTAAGCAGTACAGCAATGATGTCACTAATTTAAATTAAATGTTTTTTTTTATATTTCTTTGCATGTAGTGACATATATTCGTTTCTATAGGCAAAGGTTGAACATTTTTTTCGTGGTTTTTGTACTATACTCGTAGTCCATTTGTCGGTAGGTCAATGTTACTAATTTGTTTTCACAGATGGTCGCTTCCCGTCAAGTTTTTACACTGGCTTCAAATCTCGTTAATTTCCTAATTGGCAATTATTAAAGACTATAGAACTTTTTTAATAGACGAAAAATACTGACTCGAGAAAAGGAAAAAATATTGGATTCCTTGTTAAAAGTTATATAAAAAACTACTCTGTATTATTTAAACAAACGTTTACTTACTTAATGATTTCCAGGCCCGCCTTGCGAATTGGGACTCTTAAATTTATAGCTTCTTTTTCTTTCTAGCCGTTCTCAACCATATAGGTGTAGGTCTCCTTCAGTTTCTGCCCTGCCACTTTCTTTGCATCGTCCTTCCAATGCATCTGCATCTTCCTCTGGGGCGTTATTCTTCCTAAGGTTGCCATTTGAGCACCGTCTTACAATATGAGCCATGCTTTCGGGCAACGTGACCAACCCACCGCCACTTAAAGTGCGTTACGCGTTTTGTGACATCTGCGACTCTGCTTTCCTACTTGAACCATACATTTGTTTTGCGATCTTTGAGTGTAATGCCCAACCAGTTTCCTTTCTAATGCCTTCGGGGCTACCTGTAATATGTTAATCATGTCTTTTGTTAGCACCCAGGTTTCGGCACCATAAGTTAATACTGCTTTTTGTTCCGCAGTCAAATTCAAATTAAAATTTATTTCATTGATTTTCTTTGCCCATTTTATTTCCTGCCTCAGATAAACATTATCCATTCTTCCGATGACAGTTTGGTTAACTGTAATTTCCATCGATTCATTCTACCGTTAATTTATATATCTCACAAAATATATTCTCGACAGTAAAATATATTTCC